AAGTATAGTACAACTATTGATAATCTCCCACCTCTTTTGTCTGTAACTCACTATTATTTGTCTATTTGTTTTCCTGAGAAACTATCTTGTAGATAATATGCAAAACAATAACCATTGATAATTTTCTACCACTTTGTCTGTAATTTGCTAAGTCTCCCTTATTACTATGTTACCCTTTTCTTACTCTTTAAATTAAAAAAAAAAGGAAAAAAATGCAATTCTTAGAATTTTTATTTTATTTTTTAAAAGTCTGATACAGGGTCTCATTAAGCTGCCCAGGGGGAACCTGAACTTCATTCCTCCTGCCTCAGCCCCTAGGGTTCTGGGAGGCTTCTTGCCAGGTTTCTTTGGGTGATTTTTAATATTTTTATCTTCTCCCTAAGTTGGCACAAACCATTTAGAATCCTCTGTTTTTTTCTTAGGCTACGGACATAGACCAGACTGGGAAACAGCAATGTGCACTAACCCGAACACTTTTAAAGGAGAATACTAACTTAGCTTAGCTACTGTAAATACAGTGGACATTTATTGGTTTTTATATTTGAGTGGTTCACGGCAGACTGGCTTTAAGCATAGCTGGACTCAGAGTCTCCAGCTAACAGTGGGTCAAATCTTTCCCTCTTTCCCTGCCTCTGCACTCTGCTTCCTTCATGGTTTGGCCTCATTTCCCCCACTCCAGAAAATGCCAACAACTCCAAATTCACATATTTGAAGCTCTGCTAGGGTTACAGGTCTATTCTTGAATGGCTGTTACCAAGGAGGGGAATACAATGACTGGGTGATCAGGGGTCATACTCATTCCACTTTGGAAATAGAGGGGAGTGGTGAGAGAAAAAGAGATTACTGTAATTAAGAGCCCACAAGGTGGTACGAAGCAGGAGAGGAATTCTCCAAAACAAAAGGGTGTATGTGTGGACAAAAATGATAGGAGGGCTGGAGATACAGCTCAGCAGCACAGTGCCTGCCTGGCAAGTGCAAGGCCCTTAGTTCAATTCCTGGCACCTAGAAAAAAAGATAGAAGACATATAATGAGTGTTAAATGCTAACTACAGGGAGCGACAGAGCTCAACCTAGAATTTTCTACCTTTACCTTGCTCCATGCCTCCGTTTCTCCAATTTGTTTAAGGGGATGTCTGTTAGTCCCTAATCACATGACAACACCTTTCTTTTTTTTCTGCCTGCTGTACTTGAATTTAGTGCCCTTCTCCTAAATACTTTTGCTTAGTAACATTTACATAAATATTACATTTACACATGCACCTCACCGTTACATGCCCAGAAATAGAGAATGAGTGAGGCTTGTGTCTTAGTCCACTTTGTGTGGCTATAATAAAACTCCCAAGGCTTCGTACTTTATAGAGTTTTATTTATCTAGCTCACAGTTTGCGGGTGGAAATCCAAGATTGGGCGGCACTATGTGGTTGGCCACCTGTGAGGGCCTTCGGGCTGCATCCTACCACGGTGGACAGACTCTCATGGCGAGAGTGCATGGACAGAGCCCTGGGCAAGAGGGGAAGCCAGCGCGCAGGAGGGTTCTTGTTTACAACAGCCCCTCCTCACAGGAACGAGTCTGCTCCTCTGGCAGCAAATGTATCTTCCACACCAGCACTGATTCCTTCACAGGGCTCTTCAGAATCCCATCACCTCCCACTAGATCCCACCTCTTAAAGCTCCTGCCACCTTTCAATACCATTACAAGCTTAAACGTGAGTTTTGCTGGGGATAAAACGTAACAAACTATTGCAGCTTCTTGGAGGCAAAGAACATAAGGATTAAAAGCCCAGTTTCACAGAATTAAAGTTAAAAAAAAAAAGCTTTGGAATCTTTGAAGCCAGGTCAGATGAATTAAATTCACCTATTATAAATCTCCAACTTTTTTTTTTTTGTCTTTTCGAGACAGGGTCTCGCTATGCAGTTCAGGCTGGCCTTGAGCTCACTTTGTAGCCTAGGCTGGTCTCGAACTCACAACAATCCTCCTGCCTCAGCCTCCCAAGTGCTGGGATTACAGGTGTGGGCCACCATGCCCGCCTTGGAAGTAAAATTCTTAATTGTTTATTCCAGTCCTAATTATATTTTCTGCTATTTGCAGTTAAAAGCATTTTTAATAGCTATAAGCTGTCTTTGCGATCATTTAAGTGGTTCATACATATTGTGAGTAAAACCTGTTTTTTTTTTCTTTTTTTGTGTGTGTGGTACTGGAGATTGAACTCAGGGATATACCACCAAACTATATCCCCAGCCTTTATCATTATTTATTTAAGCAAAGTTTTGCTAAGTTTAAGTTGCCCAGACTGGCCTTGAAGGTGTGATCCTCCTACCTCCACCTTGTGTATTAGGATTCTCTAGAGGAACAGAATCATTAGAAAATGAATGTGTAAATGTGCAAAGGGATTTATTAGGTAGGCTTACAGGACAGGGGGTGGTAGAAGAAGCCACAGTAGCTTCTGAGCACTGGAAAGCCAGAGGATCTAGTAGCTGCCTGGTCCAAAAACATGAAAGCCACAGAACAAGAGGGATCAAAGATACAGTACCAGGCCGAGGTCAAAAGCCTGGAAACGCACTGTAGAGTCGCCAGGGTCTGGGGTGGGTCATCCCTCCTCAGTTTCCGGCCTCCATGTCAGTCATACACAGACACACCCAAAACCTCTAGGCCGTTCTTACTCAAGTCCTGTCGACAGACTGCAAGTAACTGTCACAGCCTCCAAGTAGTCTGGATTACAGCCATGCACCACTGTACTCAGACCTAAAAGAATCTCTACTGTTTACAAAAACAAAGGAAATCATTTTAAATGGTGATACACTAAAGGCATCATATGGAAGGTTACAGGTAATGCAATAAAAAGAAAATAAAACATGGAAATAACATTGGAAATCAAGAAGCCAGTAAGTCTCATTTTTCAGATGATATAATTGCATAAGAACACTCAAGAGATTCTACCCAAGATAAACTTTATCTCTTTGGAACAATAAAAAAAAAACCTTATTTATAATTAATAAGAAAATTTACAGTAAACTTAAAAATAGCTTTTAAGTCAGAGATAACTTCTTGGAAAGGGTAATAAAAAAAGTCATTTCATTTATCCACAAACTATGAATACACAGAAATAGAGTGGGATGCACACCTATAACCCCAGCACTGGACAGGCTGACCAAAAGCATCATCATGAGTTTGAGGGCAGCCTGGGCTGTGTAGTGAGTCCAAGGCCAGCCTGAACTCTTTAGCTAGACCGTCTCAGAAAAACAAAACAAAACAAAACAACAATAAAAAAAGGGAGATAGATTTAATAATATAAGCACATCTCTGATGAAAAAAACAGAAACGTTTCACTGAAGGAGCACAAAACAAAACTTTTGTAATCATCATATATAAGATCCATGTTTGGAAACACCATTTCCAAATATTTCTGAGCGAGTGGTCTTAGAGATTTCTTCTTAAAGCCCACCAAAACACAAAACTGAGCAGCTAAAGACTGACAATGATCGATTATTTAGAAAATAGTGCCTGGGTTTCCCAGATTTCTCTTTGGTTCCCAATCCACTGGGTGTCCAATTTGATATCCTCATCAGTAGCTGTTAGCATATTTGAATACTGAATATTTATCTATTGCAGGTGGCAAAGGTTGAGTTGCCAGATGCTATGTAGAGTTCTTTGGGACAGATATGATTAACAGCTTAGTTGACAAAGCTGCAGACAAGAAGAAAGTCTAAGATGTCAGCGATGAACTCCTACATAAAGTAGGTAAAAGGATACAAGTGGTAAGTGGGTACTACAACTTGTGGTTGTTTTAGTAAGTTTATAAATACAAGCATTTCTCTTAAGTGAATTTCTGAAAATCTTGATATTCCTGTAGTACCCAATGAAGTTTTCTTTATCGAATCACAAAAATCCACACTATAGCAAGAACTGTTCTGAGATGGAAGTAGTA